ATGGTTGCATCATTGCACTTTCACGTTGTTGATTGTGGTTTGAGTCCTGGACCTGGTGGCTTAAAACCCAGGCACGTGAGCATGCATGCCCAAAAATCCTGAGAGAAGAATGGAGAGGAATGGAGGAGAAGAGATTGTGGTGTGGCCCTCTCCCCCCACCCCCCGGGGGGGGGTGATTTCTTGCTTTCTGTCTCTCTATATCTGTCTCTCTAGCTAGTGCACACATTCTAAAACAAAAATCTCTCTTAAAAAAAAAAAAGACAAATAAACTCTCAGTCAAATCAAAGAGAACCTCTCTAGCAAAGACCGCCTGATGTTGGAGTCCACACTTGGCAAAATGGCCCAGATCTCTATGACCTCTGCTGTGCTGCCAGAGGCCAGGAGCTACCTGGGACACCATGGTTTCAATATCACTGCCTCAGTGGACCCTGCAGGTGTAGCTACTGCGCTCCTTGTAGGAGGTTCTGTAAAGGAAGGTCTGGTTGGTGCTCCTCTGTGGTGGCTATAGAAACTTGTTAAAAGCACACTTGCTTCTGAGACCAACAGTTAGTGGAATGGCTATGTCGCTGAACTCCCACGTAGTCGACCGCAGTTCAAGTCCCAGTGGCTTAAACTCACCCCGGGCACGTGTGTGTGCGTGCCCAAGATCCTGAGAGGAGAACTGAGGAGAAGGGATTGTGGCGTGGCCATCCCCCTCTGGGGGAGGGGGGCGATTTCTCACTTTGTCTCTCTGTCTCTCTCTTTCTGGCAAGCACACGCGCCCTATAGCAAAAACGTCTTAAAAAAAAAAGTATACTTGCTTCCAAAGTCTCATTGCCACCCCCACATAAAAACACCCGCCCCCCCAATTTTTTGCATAGAACAGCAAGAGGTAGACTTTCTATCTAGAGAAAATAGAGAGCTTTCCCTTAAGCCGAAGTGTGGCAGAATTCAGGATCTTGCACATGGCTGTGCAGTTTCCACAGCCACGAGCATTTGTGGATTAAATTGTCATTTGATTCTTTTCCTTTCATCGGGTCTAATAATATGGTACTATTTCTTAAAGCCAGCTGCTTTAATTTTGATATTTCTAATCATTAAAACAATTCTACAAAATGCCCCTTGTAAGAATTTTTACAAGTAGCTACCCTGAGGTTCAGAGAGGTTAAGTAACGTCCTAAGGTCGCGTAACTATCAAGGGAGGCTCTGCGATTCAACCCCAGCACTGCCTGAAGTCTGGGATGTCCCTCCTCTCTTCCTTGGCCTGGTGCCTTCAGTAAGAAGAAGGAGCTAATGAAGGCGCTGGGTGGCAATCCCAAATGTGAGAGCCGTACGGACCTTAGACATGGAGCAGTCTGTGACATTCCAGAACCATGTGGAGTTTTAAAATATTTAAAAATATTCAGATGACCAGGCCTCATTCCAGACCAATTAAATATTTGTGGGGTGAGCCCAGGCATCTGTTTCTTTTAAGAAAGCTCCTTAAGGCGTGAAGTTGTAATGCTTTCACGTTTGAGCATCACTGATGCAAACTGGCCCCTTCCCCTATCACTCTCTGGCTAATTAAATCCTGGAGAGAGGAAGTTAACACATCCAACAGCTAAATGTGTTGGAATCCATGCTCGAACAAACACCTCTTAATCCCATACTGCCTCTGGGAGTTGACTTGAAGTTGACTATTGGTGGCACCACACAACCCAGCGGAGTTGAAGGACTCTGCTCATTAGATGGTCCTGGTGCGCCCCCTGGTGGGTTACAGTGGTAAGGAGCCATTACCCTAGGCAGTACTTGAGTAAATAAATGGGGCTTTCTACAGACCTTAGTAATGACTATTCAAGCCACTGCATGAACATTTGTACTAACCAACTAGTTAGGCAATGGGTTTTGTGCCACACTTGAACTTTGATGGAAGACAACAAAACAAAAGCAAAACAACCACCCCAGATGGGTAGAATGCTTTCCTTCCAGAGGCTTGCTATATAATATCATCTTTTTTTGAGAGATTTTTTGCTATAGGGCACAGGTGCCAGAGAGACAGAGACAGAGAGACAGAAAGCAAGAGATCACTCCCCAGAGGGGATGCCACACTGCCACTCCTTCTCCTCCATTGTCCTCTCAGGATCTTAGGCACGTGCACACACACACGCCTGGCATGAGTTTTAAGTCGCCAGGTCCAGAACTCGAACCACAGTCTACTACGTGGGAGTCCAGTGACAGAACCAATACATCATCTGCTGGTCCCTTTAATACCATATAATACCCTTATATAAAATCTCTGGAAGAATTTTTAAAATCTTACTGTTGGGACCAGCAGACGGTGTAATGGTTATGTCACTGGGTTCGCATGTAGTCAACTGTGGTTCAAGTCCTGGACCCAGAGGCTTAAACTCATGCTGGGCGTGTGTACGTGCATGCCCAAGATCCCAAGAGGAGAATGGAGAAGAACGAATTGTGGCATGGCCATCCTCCCTGGAGGGTGACTTCTCACTTTCTGTGTCTCTTGGCTCTCTCTCTCCAGCGAGAGCACATGTCCTATAGAAAAAAAATCTCTCTTAAAAAAAATCTTACAGTTAATTAAAGCGATAGTCTTGTGGTTCATCTCACAGATTTTTCAATCAAATCACCTGAGGACAGATTCTGCTCCACAATTTATTAATCTCGTACAGTCTGGTGTTTCCCATGGCCTTAATCATCAGTTTCGTCATCTGTAAAATGGCCCTTCCAGCCTACTTCAGGGAGTTGTTGTGAAGACTGTGCCCGTGAAGTGGATGGCACCATGCCTAGAACTTACTAACTGCCCCCAGCCTCATCCCCCACAGATGGTTATCGTTACCATTCCTGGAATGGAGCCACATTGGGTGCATTCTTACTGGACCTGGATGTAGCTCTCAAAAGGGAAAAGAATGTAGTCAGTGCAATGTTTTCCGACCTCTGCGTTGCCATCCCTCCTGTGGTCTGCTGCTCCTCACCCCTGGGGGAGGGCCTTGCCCATCTCTGCAGCCTTCCATAAAACTTTCTCTGTGTGCAGGATCTGATCTGACCTTTCCTTTCATCAAAATAGCTTTTGCAAGGGCCAGCTCTGTGGTTTAGTGGTTACAGAAGCTATCCCACATGGCAAAAGGTGGTTCAAGTTCCAGCCCTGGGTGGCTTAAGGACTATGCTGGGCCACCCCTGGGGGAGGGCCTTGCCCATCTCTGCAGCCTTCCATAAAACTTTCTCTGTGTGCAGGATCTGATCTGACCTTTCCTTTCATCAAAATAGCTTTTGCAAGGGCCAGCTCTGTGGTTTAGTGGTTACAGAAGCTATCCCACATGGCAAAAGGTGGTTCAAGTTCCAGCCCGGGGTGGCTTGAGGACTATGCTGGGCAAGTGTGCGTGCCCCAAATCCTGCCAGGATGGAGAAATGGAGGAGAGGGGATCGTGGTGTAACCGCCCCTGGCTCAGGGCTGCTTTCTCCATCTCTCTTGGATGAGCACGTGTGCCCTCCGATTAAAATCTTTTGCAGTAGCCATATTCTCATTCCTGGGGCATCCCAATGTGAAAAGTGTGAGAAGATGAAGAGAAGTTGGCAAATGAGCCTGAGCGGGATAGACGCAGCAGGAGAGAAACCAGAAGGGTGTGTGTGTGTGTGTGTGTGTGTGTGTGTGTGTGTGTGTGTGCGTGGGTCTCAGGTGGAGGCAATGATCAATTGGGTCAAATGCGATGATAGGTTAAATGAGGACTGAAGGTTGACTATTGGATGCAGCAAAGTGAAGGTCACTGGTGACTTGACTCAGGCGATTTTGACGTAGTGGATGTGGAGATTCTAACCAGAGAAAGGAATTGGATACATCAGGCACAGATGGCTCTTTGGAGATGCTTTTCCATAAGGAGGAGCAAAGAACTCAGGTGGTGAGTGGAAGGGGAAACGGTGCCTTTTTTTCGGTGGGAGAAATAAATGTATTTGTAATGCCAGTGAAAAGGATTCAGAAGTCAGGGGAAAACTGATATTGCAAAAAGGAGAGGGGAGAATTTCTAGAGCAGTGTCCTTCATAGGCCAAAAGTGGGAGTTAGTTCAGAAGCCGAGAGCCTTGCAGGGGGCACTTCTGTGGTGTATGTGTAACAACAAAGAGAAAACACAGTCTAGGCACAGCGGAGGCAGATTCAGTGGGAGCCTGTGAATCTTCTAATGGCTTCTGTTTTCTCAGTCATTAGGAGAAAAGTTCCGTTACCACTGCGCAGAGTTGCTATTAGGTGAGGGGGTAATATCAGGAGATGAAGGGGCCAGCAGGTGGCGTGGTGGTTGAGGCATTGGACATCCATGTGGTTAACTGCAATTTGCATCCCGAACCCAAAGGCTTGACACTCATGCTGGGTGTGTAGGGGGGAATGTCCAAAATCCTGAGAAGAGAATGGAAGAAAAGAGATCGCAGCATGACCCATCCCCCTCGGGGGGTGTTTCCTCACTTTGTGTCTCTCTGTGTCTCTCGGGTGAGTGCACACAGCTCTCTCTAGCAAAATCTCAAAAAAAAAAAAAAAAAGGAGAGATCAAGTGATTATGTTTCAGTCTAGTTCTGTTTTTTTGTTTTGCTATAGGGTGCAGGCGCTTGCCAGAAAGACAGAGACACAGACAGAAAGCGAGAAATCGCCCCCCTGGGGGGATGGCCACGCCACAATCCCTTCCCCTCCATTCTCCTCTTGGGATCTTGGGCACGCACACACAGGCACCCGGTGTGAGTTTAAGCCACCGGGTCCAGGACTTGAACAGTGGTGAACTACATGGGAGTCCAGAGACATAGTCATTACGCTAGCTGCTGGTCCCCTAGTTCAGTTTTAAAGGTGTGGTCTAGTGGGTAAGACTCTGCTGAAAATATTCAAACAGTAAGGTTCACATGTAACATCAATTTAAAATTCAAATAATAAAAGCATATGCAATGCTCTCAATTTCCTTTATTTTTGAATAATTATTAACCACTAATCATTCTAATCATTAAACCACTCTACAAAACACTATCACATTTAAGAAAACTTCAGAAACATTTAGGGTGGGAATTGAACTGTTTACCTACCATCAAAATATCATGCAAATCCTTATTTTCTTAGAAGATATTTAACTTTGCAAAATTCTTAATAGGTGATAGTGCATTTCAATTCTATGTACCACAGTGAGAATTTACCCATGCATATCACTCAAAATGCTACACATTTTTTGGAACCGTTTCAGAGTAAGTAGCTGTGGTGATTTTCCTCCAGTGGTTAAAGCTAGTGAACGCAATCCCCTACGCCTAGTCGCAGCCTCAGACTCGTAGCACATTTGCACCAAGCAGCCCACTCCTCCTCGAATCCTTCATGGGGCGAGGCCGGGGACTTGCATCCTCACAGGTAGAAGAGAGAATTGGCTAACTGCAAACTTGGCTCCTTGTGAATGCTTTGTGCCACCAGAAAGGTCAGCTTGTGTGCGTACTGACATGGCGCTGGGACGCTGATTAAGCCCTGAAGAGGAACACGTATTGATAATATGTAAGAGGATCGTTTAAAGTAATTGTTTCTGAGTGTTTTCTTCTACCGGACCATCCCAAACTCCCTCCAGTCTCAGAGAACTCATCCAGGGGCGCTGGCGTGACGCAGACACAGAGCAAACAGAGGACAATGTCACAGACTGGGAACTGACGCTCACCGCACCCTTGGGGTGAGGGCCAGTCTGGTTTCATGTGCAGGGAGAGAGCGGGGAGCCCTCACACATAGGGATAATCCAGGTGTCCTGAAATCTCATGTTCCGAAGGACTCAGAACAAACCTGCCCTTGGACTTTGACAGCAACTCTTGAACTAATGCCTGGGAATGCAGGGAAAACCCCCTCCTGCTAACACTTTCCCACCAGGCACATCTGAGTCGGTTCCATTTCCTCATCCTAACATGCAAATAACAATCCCATGATCCCCCAAGCTTGCGTAAGGTAGTGTATAGAGTAAAGGCCTCTAGAAACCCTACGTATTAGTCTATTAATAGCAACTGCTATTTTGTTCCCATTGTGGACTTCAGGGTGTTCATTCCTTCTTTGTGAGAAGTCGGGTACTGGGCCAGGCTCAGGGATACAAAGGAGAGTGGGCGACCGCTCCTAGGTGGGAATCTTGAGCCTCACGTGTATGTACGTGAATAGCTCTCACTCACCGGCCAGTTGTAGTAGAGGTGGCACAGTTTGAACGTAAGCCTCTGCATGTGGTCGGGCTTCAAGCCGTTGTCGTCATAGATGACATTATAATAGGTAGGATTAACGGTTCCTCTGTGGGCCATCTGGCTGATTAGGTAAAAGTCATACCTGATGGGAGAAGAGAACGCATATGGGGAAGGTAGCAGTGTATCCCAACCTAAGCCACGGACAATGAATGTTTTGTTTAAATTTTTTTTTTAAAGCTACACAGTAGGATAGCAGTAAAATGTGATGCTTTGTGAAATTATCCTACCTAGAAGGTCCCCAGTTTAAGTCTGGAGACCTCTCTGAGTATTCCAGGCACATGCTTGCCGGTGATCTGCCTGCCCATAATTCAGGGATGGCAAAAGGCTGACGGCTGATCACAGTTTTAAGACCCCATCAGGGTTCTCTCTCTCTTTCTCTTTCTCTCTGTCTCTCTCTTTTTTGCTCATGGAAAGAATAAATAAACATTTTAAAAATAGGCTTTAGAACGACACTTGCCATTCAGGACGCGTGGCGTCTGAATCCACCACAGTGCCAAGAGGGGGGTTCTGGACGGCATGGTTCATTTCTGTGAAGAATCGCGGCATGCACTTCTTCCTGACCACGATCACTGACAGTTTGGACCTCAAAACCAAAGAAACAAAAAATTGAGAAATGAAAAACATCTCATACAGCTGTTTTTTGTTTTGTTTTGTTTTGTAATTTTTAACACAATAAATAGAAAGGCATTAGAAAACAATGTAGAAGGAAGAAAATTCAAAATTATCCACAATCCTCCCTTTCCTAGAAACACACGATTTTTAAAAATGAGAGACTGTTTTCATTTGCTGCAACGGTGTACTCTGCTCAGTCCTTCGTGTGGTTCACACCATTCGCAGCGGGTGAGGGAAATGGCTAATGGGCAGTCAGCCTCAATTAGCATGTCTGGGGAAAGATTTTCCAGAATTAGCCACGGAGACAAGACTTTTTTTTTCTTTTTGCCATTAGCAATAGTCCCCTATTTTCACCTTTACTCCTCTCTAATTTACTTCTGAGTAGCAAAGGAAGGTTAAGTTCCTCTTATTCCTCAAATGACGCGTTCTGATTACGCAAAACTCAAGTCTGGGTGGGTGGATGGCACACCAGACACACATTCTGGCTAATGCTGACTGGTTAAGTGTTACAATATTTGGTGAATGGGCCAGCAGGTGGCATGTTGGTTAAGGCACAGGACTCCCACGAGGTCGACCATGGTTCAAGTCCCGAACCTGGTGACTTAATTTCTCACTTTCCTTCTCTCTGTCTGTCTCTCTCTGGTGAGTGTGCATGTCCGTAGCAAAATTAAAATAATAATAATGATAAATAAAAATCAATAAATAATTATTTCAAAATATATTTAGTAAAGCCAAGGTCAAATTCAAACACCTGCCATCATGGAAGGAACCTCTGGGATGCAGGGATCACCGTGAAGTTTCACTTCGAGCATTTTGAGTATTTGAAAATTTTATTATGAATGTTTTCAATAGTGAAAATAATTTTTTTGAGAGGTGTTTGCTATAGGTTTCGTGTTTGCCAGAAAAACAGAGCGAGACAGAGAGACAGAAAGTGAGAAATCAACCCCCCAAGGGGTATGGCCACACCACAATCCCTTTCTCTTCCATTCTCCTCTCAGGATCTTGGGCACACACACACATGGACCCGGCGTGAGTTGAAGCCACCAGGTCCAGGACTTGAACCACGATGCACTATGTGGGAGTCCAGCGATGTAACCATGACACCATCTGCTGGTCCAGTAGTGAAATGATTTAAAGTCCATGTTATAGTACAAGAAGAGTTAACTTCTCAGCACCGTCAGCTGCCAAGTCACCTCCTGCGTCCTTCAGGTGCATACTTGTGATCTGCGATAGGCTCGTTCACCTGAGGCCAGTGAGTTATGTTGGCTCTGCCAGTCTGGATGCAGTTGCAGGAGACATTGCCACCAGCTCCCAGGCTTTCCTCTCTCACAGGATAAGTGGCTGAAGCAAAGATTCAGCTCCTTCATGACTCGTGACTACAACCCTTTGTTTGATGGTAGTGTTAATGTGAACCCTACAGATGGAGCTCTGAATCCCACTTGGAGTAAGATGGCGTCCAACTAATTGAAGAAGCCCACTTAGGATTACTGTCTGGCCCCATCTTCATTTCTAATATTTCCCCTGCCCTTGCCACTTCATATAATCAGTGAGGAAAACCGTGTACTGAAACAAGGTATCTAGAAATTTAACAGTGGAATAAGGAGCTTGCTGTTTAAGGTGGTCTTAAGATGGAGTGATTTCCATCTGCAGCTCAGCTTTCCGGGTACTCAGACCTTTTGTAGAACCTTCCACAGCCCTTAACAGTGCCTGCGATTCAGAGGCATTGGTCCTGTGTTGACTAAATCTGAAACCACAGCTTGTTTTGTCCCCATGGCATATTACTCTGTAGGAAGCATCTTTACTCGCTAGCAGTCCTGCAAGCTTGCCTGCTGCTCTGAAGGCTATCTGCCTTCCTCTCAGTCCTCTGCCAGGTATTTATGTTGGACCATCACAATGACCCTCCAATCTCAGGGAAATCATACAGCTCTCCTGGCATGATGCAGAATTGGAGTGAAACTTACCTGAATTAAAAAAGGAACGTATGTTTGTATACCTTGTGCTTAATAGTTACTGCTGAATCCTCCATGGTTGGGAGTGCGGGGGAAAGGACATTAATTTCATACCTGGTATTTTGGTTGGATTCTGTCACACTGCTCAGCAGCTGTGGGACTTCATACTCGATAAGCGTTCTCAGCTGGCCGTCCCCCACACCATCGCGGTATACAACTATCCGTGCCGGCACGTCGTGGTTGTACTTGTACCACTGGTTGAGGGCGCCTGCAGAATTGGATGCTAGTGTGAGAACAATGACTTGTCCAATGTCCACAAAAATGAACGACTGCCTCTGTTTTGATGTTTAAATAAGTTTGCAATTTCAGACCACTGTAAAATAGGGTAATACCTAATTAGAGTTCTATTTGTGATAAAATAAGAATGGATACTTTCGTGAAAGATTCCTTCATCTGCTATCTGAGGAATCACAATGGCTTCCATGGCATAGTACATTCTTAAATCTATATATCACTTTGGTTGAATCTTAGTATTCAAATAACAAATCAAAATTGATTTACTGCAACAGATACACAAATGCCTAAAACCAAATTAATACTAATATAGTTTCTTTAACTCCTTTCAACAGCTACGGACTGGACAATTTCATGCTATTTTCTTCCTTAATGAGAGTAAATATGAAAACATATGGAAATGGTCTGACTGTTCCTCTGAAAACATCTCTCCATACTAACTAACCTAATTCCTTTCCGGTTCTCACAGATGATATGAACTCTAAAAATACTTCCACCCACTCTAGTTAGGAACTGCCTAAAGTGCAGAGACCAGACAATAACTCTTTTTTTTTTAGAGAGGGATTTTTTTTGTTATCGGGCATGTATGTTCAACAGAAGGACAGACAGAAAGCAAGAAATCAGCCTCCCAGGGGAGATGGCCATGCTACAATCCCTTCTCCTCCATTCTCCTCTTGGGATTTTGGGCACGCACACACACATGCTTGGCATGAGTTTCAATCTGCCAGGTCCAGGACTTGAAACATGGTCATCTATGTGGGAGTCCAGCAACGTAAACATTATACCATCTGCTGGTCCTTCCAGACAATAATTCTTACTCAACAAAAGCTATTAACAACTACTAAAAACTTAACCAAGTGTTTTGAAGTGTAAGGACAGTAACAGGAGGCAATGATTGTTGCTATATATATATATATAAAAAACACAACTGTTTCAGAAGAGCTTATTGAAGAAATTCATGTTAGTTCAATAGAAGGCAATTACCCAGTCATTGGAAAAGTCATGACGTATTTTTCTATACAAAAATACATCATGACTTTTCCAGTGAAAAATGTCATGACTTTTCCAACGACCCAATATATAAGTAAGTCCACTACCAGCATATATCTCAAAGTTTACCTTAGAAAAACATACGTATAACCACCTAAAATGTACAGATGGGAAAATGCAGATGAGGGAGGAGAGCTTGGAGAGACTTGTGTGAATCTTACTGCTAGGAAACAGCAAAACTGAAGCCAGGTCAGGGCAGATTGAGAAGTACAAACCCACCTCACTGTGAAGAGGCCACCCTTCCTCATCTGCTGTCTTCCTCATCTTCTTCTGTCATGCCACACACTAACCCTAGCAACTCTTTC